CTCGGATCGAATATGCTTACAGATGCTCTGAGTTTGCATCTACATCTCCCAGAATGAAGCAGTAACTGGATTATGCCTCCAGTACATAGAATATGCTCAGTGTCACTTACGGTTACAGCTAGCAAATTTAATTAAAAGTCATAAAGGATATGTTTCGTTTCGCTACGCTGAGGATATGGGTGTAGTATATTCTGCAGCAAGTTTGAGACTTGTAATTGCTCAGGTTAAGCAGAGGGTAATTTTGCAATCCTTGCCAAGTTTTGTTTAAGTGCCTCAATAAACAAGACAAATGAGCTTTCAGAATGAAAAAATTGGACACAGCCCATTTGATTCTCTAGTTGATACATTTGATCTGTTCGGAACGGTATACTGCTTTTCATACTTTATTTTTGTCATTTGCGCATTATGCTCAACAAGAACTTCCATTTCCAATTTGACAAATTAGCAGAAAGAAACAATCGCAATTTTTAAATCTTTTTTTTTCAGACAGCCAAACTTTATACAAATCAACTGTAAATAGCAACAGCCTCAATTTTTAACATTTCGTTATAATTAAAACATTTATACACGCACTGTAAAAAAAAGGTGCTGCTTTACATAAGTACAATCAACTTGGATTTTTGCCATGTCAACTTAAAGGGATACTTCAGGATTTAGCATTTCTATTAGTAGATAACCTGTAGTATTTTAGATTACCATGCTTTCCACCCTTATATCCCCCTGAGACGAGAGATTTATGTATTTTTTGTCTGGAAAAAAAATCCTCTGATGACGCAAAAATCGTAATTTTGCGTCATGTGAGGATTTTTTTGTCCAGAGGCTAAAATTACAGTCAGTATAGGGGCTGTCCTGCAAGTTTTCAACCCGCCAATAGAGGGTGTGATCTCACTCACAGAATGAACACATAGTGTCAGCCATCTTTTTTTGGAAGCTAAGCTAGCAGGCTCTTGTTCTGTGGAGAAAGCTGAGTAGTAGGGGTTACCGTCCTCTTTTTCACGGACATGTCCGGCCGTCGATGTCATTCATTGTTTACATGCACAGCTTTTGTTTCAATCTAACTGAATTCATTCCGATTGGTGAATTTGAATGTCGTTTACATGAACGCTAAACAAGTGATCGATTGATGTGCGTTTTAACATTGCTAAGAAAATTCCCGCTCCTCCGTGAGAGATACGAGACCGGTGAGTCTCACATATGTCGCTCATCGGTAATCACGCCACCAGCCTCGCGCCGTTCTCCCACGGCCCTCACTTGTCCTGCTCGCCACAATAAACGTAATGAATGGCGACTGTAGAACGCAAAAGCTGAATACCGGACGTTTTTAACGATCTCGAAAAACATTTTCGGGCAGACTCATCACGGAGACTCACTAGTAACCTAGACTTGTTGTTTAACTACTGCGCTCTGTCACCGGTAGGCGTGGCCTCCTAGGGCAGTGTAGCAAGTGCTTTCTGGGAGTTGTTGTCTTTCATCCACATAAGCCAAAAATACATTTTCTGGCTTTTCTCAGTCTAGAAAGCTCCAAATTCAAAATTTTCTTCTACATAAATTAGCCATTTTAAATACACATTCATCTTTCCAGAGGTGAAGTATCCCTTTAAATTGCATTAAATGACTTATAAAAAATGTATATATTTTGACGCTTTTAAAGCAATGTAAAAGCACTTGTTGTTAATTTATTGATCATATAAAAATCAATGGTTAAAATCAAAAATAACTTAATAATAAGCTCGAGATAGCATTCAGTACGTACTAACTTGGCAATGCCAAAACAAATAATGAAAATGTGTAACTATTTACATCTTTGGGTAATCGGTGGCTAATTTGTATAACTTCGTACAATGCTTACGCTCCCAGTGATGGGTGTGATTAGGGGTGGACCTTCATGCACTTTTCTTTTCTAATGTACGATTCGTACCAATTCATATAAAATCGACACCTTGTAACATAGTTTAGTTTTCCCATGAGATCAAGTTGGCGAAGCTGCACACAAATGTTTAAAATGCTTATCAGTGAATGCAGCTACATTAGTATGCCATTTGGACCAGATTCTTCCTTAGCTCTTCTCACTCTGCTGAATCATTTATTAATGGTCATTTATGGCCATGTACTCATTTGAGTCACTGTCTAATGGTGCTTGTGGATGGGTGCACATTCTGACACATCGATGGAACAAGCTACCATCTATCAGACTATTCGTCCTACTGTAACAGCTCTTAGTGGCACATTCAGATTGATGCATGGTGATTTTCAGAAGGGGGCAGGGAAAGTGATCAAACACATCCAATTAACAAAGGCGAGAAATCAGCCTCTCGTTGTTGGAACTAATGTTCTGGATTCTTGTCAACCATTCATGACTGTCTAAAGCTAATGAGAAAGGAGGAGATTGTAATATTGTAATATGCTTTATAATTAACAACAAAGGCTCTGCGCATTTTTAATTTATTGTCAACCATCATAAAGATTTGATCTGAAGGTTTATGTCTAACTGTTGACAGAATCTCGGTCAAACCCAGCATGTGGTTTGAGGAGGAATGTCAATTTGGAATGCGTTTCTTTCCAACAAGTTGATTTTGTCAAGATTTAGGGGTACATTAACATATAAATGAGCTCAAAGCTAACAGACATGGACTAAAAGCTTATACATTTTGCTCTAAAACACCTGTAATTTTGTTTCTGTGGAGGTGTGCAGGTGCAGATCCTTTGCTGACGTTATAGCCCAAGTAGATGTTTCCCTCATTGCATGCTCATGTCGCTATCAGAAATCTTTGTTCTCTCCTCTTTAGTTCATAAATGAAAGCTTTGCCCCCAGCCCTTGAATCAAACGAAAATTGTTCCTCTTTTTTTCCATTTCTGTCATTTTGGGTTTCTCTTCACTCTACATACATAGCAAGAAGTCTGAGTGAAGTTCTATTTTAAGCATAATTTCTGTGTTAAAACACAACTTTGGCTACATTTTGCTGTTATACACGTCAGTAAGTTTCATGTGGACTTTAAAAGAGCATATGCATAATGTTATATTCATAAACTACATACATTCTAAATCACTGACTTAAATATCTATTGAATGTAGGGTGTTAGAATGCTTACAATGCAAAGCCATTCAAATTATTGTACATAATTCATCTTTGAGACAGACAATGAAAAATTTACTGTAGCGTTACGTTCACACCGCCGCCGACTTGAGCGTCAAAGAAGCTCTGGTCACCCTGTCAAGGACGCTTGCCAAAAAGTTCGGGGAAGCTTGTTGACGCTCTGACGTTATAGGGAGAATAGAAGTGTCACAACGTGAAATGTAATAATAAGAGAAAAAAAAACAAGCAATACATTGAAAAAACCTTTTATAATGACCGCATTTTACAACCGTTTTGGTCACATTTGGTCGGGAAAAAAATAGTTAGCTATTATTATTATTTGCGGATATCGATGTCACAGTGAGCAAATGAATTGCATTCCCGCTTTAAAACGAGCTTTCGTAAATATTTCAAAATAAAAGTTGCACTCATGCGGTCCCTATAATCAAACAACGTCAAGTCATAAATGATACGAAACCAGGAGGAAACACAGCAACGGCGATGATTGGCGTCTCTTCTATTTTCTCGGAACTAATGTTTTGGTAGGAACAAAAGTTTACATTGTATATTTCTCCGGAATCAGCCAGCATGAAGGACATCTACAGTATATTCCGATTGGTTGCTGGCGTTTTGGCGCTGCTTGCCACTGAACCGCGTCATAGCTCATTACCATAACTGTATGTTCATACCGCTGCCGACTTGAGCTTCCAATGTGGCCGGAAGTCATTCATTTTCAATGGAAGCTGGCTTTTCTTAGCTGCAACGAGCGACAAATCCATCTGCGTCGCGTTTTGGGCATTTTGAGCGTCAATCAGAAAGTTGAAAGAAGCTCAACTTTATGGTAATGAGCTGTGACGCAGTTCATCGGCAAAACGCCAGCAACCATTCGGAATATAGACGTCCTTCGCGCCGGCTGATTCATGAGAAACATACAATGTAAACTTTCGTTCCTACCAAAACATTAGTTCTGAGAAAATGGAAGAGAAGCTAATCTTCGCCGTTGCTGTGTTTCCAATCCAACTGGTTTCATATAATTTATGACATGATGACATTGTTTGCTTATAGGGACCGCATGAGCGCAACTTTTATTTGAAATATTTACCAACGCTCGTTTTAGAGCGGGCATGCAATTAATTTGCTCTCGGTGATGCCGATTTGACCGCAATAATAATAATAGCTAGCTATTTCCCCCCCCCCCGGCCAAATACGACCAAAACGGTTATAAAAATGCGGTCATTATAAAAGGTTTCTTCAACGTATTGCTTGTTTTTTTCTGTTTATTACATTTCATGTTGTGACACTTCTATTCTCCCTACAACGTCAGAGCGTTCAAAGCGTCCAAAGCGTCAAAAAGCTTCCCCGTACTTTTTGACAAGCGTCCTTGACAGGTCGGCCAGAGCTTCTTTGATGCTCAAGTCGGCGGCGGTGTGAACGTACAGTCAAGTTGAGCTTCTTTTGACTTTATGATTGATGCGACGCCTAATGCGACGCCGATTGATTTGATGCTCCTCGCAGCTTATTAAATTGATCAAAAGTTACATTAAAGTTATACAAAAATTATTAAATTATTAAATTATTAATAATAATAGTGGTATAATAATAATAATAATAATAATAACACCTTTTTTTTTTAGCACCAAATCAGAAAATTAGAATGATTTCTGTTTTTACTGGGTTTGTAATCCAATAAATGGTACTTTGGTGAAAATGAAATTAAAAAATGGAATTAAAACAATTAAAAAACAAAAAGCAATGTTAATTGATCAGCAAATTTGTTTTTACTATTTTTTTTTGTTGTTGTTTGTTTTTTTGTAATCCAATGAATGCTACTTTAAAATAAAATAAAATAAACATTTCCAAACCCTAAGCCTTTGAACAGTAAGCCACCAAACAATTATTTCATGAAATGAGGGTTACAATCTAGATCAAGCATCTTTGTCCTGATGCGCTCAGTGGTTGCCTCTGCATTGTGGAAACCTTTACTCGCTCTCTTTATTGTTTCAGTCACACTTACTCTGAGATTGGCTATGTCAGATCAAAGACCGCTGGACCACTGCACAGCTCACAGTTTAACTTCTGAGGAACTGATGGTCTCATAAAGGGAATCCCTTGGTACTGCATGCAGACTCTTGGTCTTGTTGTGACAGCGCAGCTCTGATCAAATGAAAGCTTCACTCGGTCTTTATCTGTAGCTGTTGCAGAGCGTCCCTCTTTGACACCCAATGCCTGACTGCGCATAAGTGGAGGGGAGCAGAGAGAGGGAGGAGAGAAGAGAAAAACAGCAGGAGGAGGGTGAGATCTAGCCAGACTATGTTGAAGAGCCACAGGCTGCGCACAGCAAATTGCTCTGGAGTTAGAGAGGATGAGAGGAGGAAGATCGAGATTATTGCTGCAGAGATTTCAGAGGTGAGGGCAAGTGGAAACTTATTGGCATCTTTGGCGTCGATACTGGGATGAGAATTGAGTGATTTCAATCTACAGGAGGCGCAAGACTGCTACTGTGGTTGAGTGCCGTGCTTCTAATCCTTCAGAAAGAGGTCATTTTTTTTCTAGGTAAACTTACTTTCAAACACTTTACATTTTACAGCCCACGTCGATTTATGTGGGAGGAAGAGATCTGAGGACCGGATCGGATTTGAGATTTTGAGGCTTCAAAGAATTCTTCTACTGCAATTTTTTCTGAGAAACACATGCATACGTGAACCCCACGCACTTACTGTTCAACGCAATCTGGAGTGATGAACCTCATAGGAGAAGCATGTCAGTTGTAGCCTCAGATGCGGCGCTCTGAGGAATAATGATGGGAAGAAATTCACTTCTGGCATAAAATGAGAAATTTATCACAGCCGATCATTTCTGACCCACTCTTTCGGAGAGCGTGTGGCTTATTTCTCCGTTCCCTCTCGCTTTAGAAGCTGTGAGACTCCTCTTTGGAAAATTCGAGCTGGTGGTTGTGCTTACAGATCTGAAATATTTAAGACTCTGGCTGTGAAAGATGCAATTAACTGTTAATGAAAACCGAAACGGATGTGATCAGTATGCACATGTTGCCTACATTTACTCTGAAAACTGTGGGAGTGAGTTAAGACGAGAGGACCAATGACTGACAACGGTACCAGGCTTGCTAAGTACCCCGGAGTACAACCTGTGCATTAGGTTGTCTTCAGCCTTGGGCTGAATTTAGAAACAATCTTGATCTTTTTTTTCCTCCCATCACGCCTCATTGAGGAACAGGTTGCTGTGCTATTAAGCAGATTAACTACTGTTTCCAGGACTGCGGTTCCTTTGGGATGAACAGTTAAGCAACGCATATGGGTCTACAAAACTTGCTTTGATCAAACATTCAACCACCCATCATTATTACCTTGTTCCTCATAATCAACATGGTCCCTCCACCCCCTTCCAACAAGCCACACGTTTGCCTTTCGTGTGTTCTCATAATGAGTAGCATGGCGCTGCTGGACGCCTACCTTGTGGAGCAAAATCAAGGTCCTCGGAAGGTGGGCGTCTGCATCATGGTGATGGTAGGCGACGTGTGCTTCCTCATCGTGCTGAGGTACATTGCCGTATGGGTTGGGGCCGAGGTACGAACTGCTAAACGTGGCTACGCCATGATCCTCTGGTTCTTCTACGTCTTTGTGCTCGAGATCAAGGTCTACTTTGTCTATCAGAACTACAAAGCGGAAGGCGAGAGAGCGGAAGCTCTTACATGCAAGGCTTTCACGGTGCTGCTTTCCGTGTTCGTGCCGGGACTTTACGTTACGCTGGCAGCCATCGACCACATGGAATACGTTCGGCCTATCAAGAAGAGAGAGGAGCTGAGGAGTCGACTATTTTGGGTCGTGGTGGACCTTCTCGACATCTTGGACATTCAGGCCAGTCTATGGGAGCCTCAGAGAAAAGGGCTCCCCCTATGGGTGGAGGGCCTTACTTTTTTCTACTGCTACATACTACTACTGATACTGCCGTGTGTGTCGCTAAGCGAAATAAGCATGCAAGGTGTGAATATTGTCCCGCACAAGATGTTGTTGTATCCTATTCTCAGTTTGGTCGCCATCAACTTTATTACGATTTTTATACGGGGAGGGAATATGGTGCTTTATAGGGATGTCCGTGTGTCTGGAATACTCATGGGCAAGAACGTCCTCGCCATTGTCCTGAAGACGTGCAGCTTCGTGCAGTACCGGAGACACCTGCAGGAGGTGCCGACAGCCGCTCTCGCTCCGGAGCTACAGAGGGATGCAGTGCCACAAAGTTCTCGAAGGGCAGTGCCAGTCGCAATGCCAATGTCCGTCACCATGCCAACTCCGCAGGTAGTCATACAAGATCTCACCACGCTTCCAGAAGAACCCGAACTTGAGGAGACATGACAAAAGGTGGAATTAGACGAGTTTGCACGGAGGATATTTGGACAACGCACAACATGAACTGCTATGAGATTTTTTTAAATTAAGTTAATCCGGGTGTACACTGTCTGATTATTACTGTACTTTACCATGGATTCAAATCAGATTGTACGACATGGTATTACTAAGACTGTGCAGCCCATACCACAGACGTTTAGCTAGACTTTGATCGAAATTGACAGCACCACAGTGTAAAAAGACATCGTAATAATGATTTTCATCTTGTTTTCCAGTAGAAATGGCAAATTTTCTTTCAAACAAGATACATTTACACTTAAGGCCAGGGCCATAGACTGTAAAAAATATGGACAAAGCGTCTGTGACGTCACCCATGGGCGGGGGGGGGTATGGGCGTTGCCATATTGGAAAATCTTGGGAAATACAAAATACAGATGTTCAGAAAGAATACAGAGGTGGTATGATGTGTTGTGTCAGATCATGGCAGAGACGTCAAATTCCACATCAGCTGTCAATCAAAGCTAACCGCTCTTATTTGTCATACATTTTATATCTAAATATGATCTTAACTAATGAGTTACAAAAAAATCACCCCCCTCACAGTTGTCAGGCACTCGGAACCTATCGAAAAATACAATAAAAGTCCATGGGACCAACCTGTAAAAGCATGAATTTATGCTGTGAAAACGGACATTTTGACATGGGGTCTATGGACATTTGCTCCCTTTTGGGACCTGCCCCTAGTGGATTTTAGATGCATTGCAGTTTTTCACACTCCCGGGTAGGCTTCATTTTTCAGATTAGAATGTTGCCGCTTGGCCAGGACACACCTTCGGCTGTTTTTGAGCTTAGTTTTTTTCGGTGTTAGCTCTAGTCGGGCACCGCCGGTGAGAGAGAACTCTGATTGGATGTTCAGCTTAGCGAACGAGTCTGTGAACGAGACTGAAACTAAAAATGGTGAAAGTTAAGATGGTACAGACAGACAGACAGAATTTTACGTCATTACCTACATTCGAATGCACGCATATTTTCAAAACAACATGAGTCGACTGGAACGAAAAACTGATCAGTGTGATATTTAAAATGATAAACAAACACTGCATTGTTTACGGTTTGTAAGTCTAAAGTCATAGGTTCCGTTTCCCATTTTGAATGAAGAAAACAGACTATTGATACCTGCTGACATAGACAGATATTAGATTAAGTTTATTTATCCTCGCGGAAAATTGTTTGTTCGGCAGTATCAGAAGATATTTACTTACACGCAGAGGCAGAACACGCATGCAAGTTGATAATCACCTTAAGTCCCTTTGGTGTGTTCAAGCGCAGTTTTTGACCGAGATGCAGCCAATGAGAGGCAACAACACAGTCAGCTTTTGTTGCCGCTAGTTTTTTGACATCGGCTTGGCGTGTCCCAGGCTTTAAACTAAATTGTGTAGGCTAATAAGAACATTTATCTTAGTTACCACATTGGTAAATAACTTTTTCTTGTTATAAACATAATTTGATTTATGTGTTGTTTTACTGAAAGATAAGAAAAAAATAGTGATTAAGAAAAAAGTGCGCATAACATTCTTACAATCAAACCAAAATCCAAATTTCGCCTTGAAAAAACAAAAAAAAAACTGAATGAGTCTCTGACAACAAAAAAGTGGCAAATATCACATAGTGTGCACCCAATTTTAGTGAAATCATGTGATTTAAAGTTGTTGATGAAGTGACAAATGTTCGTGAAATGAAGATACAAAGCAGCTGTGGTGGATCTGGGGTCCATTCATTTCTTGAAAATGTCTGAAAGTCATTATTTATTATTTATTTAAGTGGCAAGCAAATCACACTTGAAGGAACTCTCAGTGACCCTATGATTGTACAATTAGACAGCTGCGAATACTCCTCCTATTTGCGTTGTGAGTGTTATAAATTGTGCTGAATCATCTTGTTCCGTATTCATTTCATTTTATTTTTGCAGTATTTTAATAACTATGGTGAAAAGTTGTGTGTTTGGAACAACTCGTACTACAATTAACTTAAACCTATTACAAAGTGAATGTTTTATATTTAATGGAATTATTCATATTCTTTGTTTCGATGTTTTATGAGAATCAAATGAACGATATTTTGTTATTAAAACAATGTTTTTGTTGATATCCTTCTTACTGATGCTTAGCCACCACCTAACGACCACCCAAGGCAATGGTTTCGAAACTAAGAACACCTTAGCAACCGTAGAACAACAACATAGCAACCCTAGAAACTGTTTAGAAACTTAGAAGAAAAAAAATACTTTCTTATCACAATATGTTTTTTATTTTGTTAAATCAACTAAAAAATTTCTCCTTCGTTGTATTAACTTGACAACCAGGTAACTTACTTTTTTAAGTTAAACCAACAATATATTTTTTTACAGTGTGTGTGCACATGTAGCAACACCCTGTCAACCTATCTCAGTGCCAAAAACATTTTCTTAAGAAAATCTTCTCTTAATCGTCATCCTTTGTTTTGTTTTTTTTTTTGAGTAAAATTACAAGTCTGCTAAAAGCAAAGACTTCCCCAAACTGAGACCAAATCACAATTATGAAATTCAGTGTGATTAGTCTTATCTTGTCAGCTCAACATGATGATAAAAGGCAGCTTGTTCTTTTCTTCTACAAATCTAGAATTTGAGGCAACTCGTTTAAATAAAGTTGTCATAATCAAATGCAAATTTAGCAAAGTTTTGTCTCCCGTTCCTAAATGATTAGCTACTGTTAACTCACTCCAAATCTCTGAGGGCTTTCAAATTAAATCCAAAAATCAAGCCTGAGTATTTCAATAATAAGTAAAACATTGTGTGCCTTGGGTGAATTAAAAGAATTGTTTTACCCAGAGCTATAATTTTAGCATGTTGCTATAGCTACTGTTAGATTAGCACAGTCGACAAATATAGCACAAAGGCATGTCTAAAAAAAAACAAAAAAAAACAAGATCTCAGTAAATACACCTGACAGCTTCTCATTGCTTCACTGACACCGTAGATGCTTCTGTGCCAGATTGAAACACAAAATATAAACGCATACTTTTTTTTACATGTCAACAGTAAAGTAAATAGTAACTAGTTTGTCAAAGCAGTCCCTTTCAGTCAGTAATTTATGGGTGTTTGTTCTTGCAAGTTAATCTGTAAGGTGCTCTGAATCTGAATACAGAAATTCATCACACTTGATGAATATTTACATTTGATGTAGCTGCTAAAAGGCATAATTCACACACAAAAAAAACATATTTTACTAACCCTTATTCAAGGGAGTGAATGGGACTAAATCTTTCAAGCAGTAAAATCAAACGAACACACACACACACACACAAAAACACCATAAAAGTAGGTCAGATGACTTGTGCGGTATTTTTCATGCCTTCTGAAGCCATATAGCTTTCTGTGAGGAAATCTTTTTTTGTAGAATTTGAACTTCATAGCACATTTTTATTAAAAGACAATGCATAAACCGAAAAACTTAATATTGAAAGTTACTTTCAAAGCAATGTGCAAGTCGGTTTGATAAATGTTGTTCAAATAAGGTCAATATTTAACTACACTAAAGTTTAAGCATAGTTAAATCTAATAATTTTTTAAAGCACTTACAACAAACACAGCGGTTATGTTAGCATTGCATATGAGAATACCAGACTAGCCCTTGCCAAATTGTTCCTCAACTATTAGCTGACCATTGAAAAACCTCTTAACAATGACTGTTGGGACCATTTAATAATCAAGCTTGAGAATTCAGCCTCCACGCCGTGATGATAATAACCCAATTACAGAAACAAAATCGTATGAGTTGTTATTTTGGACAGAGGGTGGAATTAAACTCGCTGCTATTTGCCAACAAAATGGAGGCCACTGCTGCGCCAAGAGATTATCTGTCAGTCAGTCCTAATGTGGGTAAAAATGAAAAAATGTACTGTAAAGACATGGGGCAGCTGCAGGCAGCGCTCAACACGGCTAACTACTAACCCTCGGCTGATAAATGCATCCATAGGGAGCCATGAAAGTCAAATCTGAAATAGAGGACAGCATAAAACATATTCTCTTCGGGCACTCTGAATATGCACATATTAGTGTGATTCTGTGTGGATATGGGAAGTCTCTAGGCGGTGGAGTTCAGGATTTGAGGAAAGATATTAGTTAGTATGTATGGATAGATAGATTCACTGTAAAACCCAACAAGTTAAGCTAACTCATTTCATTTGAGGAAACCAATTGATTCAATTTAATTAATTTCATCATTTTTTAATCGAGTCCACTAAAACAATGATATTTCTTAATACACAATTAAACTTTACACTGCATTTACATTACACTGAAACTTCACTATATTGAGTAAAAACAGTGAAATGACAAACTTTAAATGAACTCAGAGAACTTGCAGTTACTGCTATCAGACATGAAGTCAAATACAATAAGTTAAGATAACTCATTACATTTGAGGACACTGATGGACGCCTAAATTATTGAAATTTTAGAAACCAATAGTTATGAGTACTCTGAAATGACTTCAGTTGAGTTCACTAAAAGTTGATATGCATTGCAGTCAAGAATTACGTGATTGATTATTTTCTCTGGTTGCTGAAATGTGTGTTTATAAAACACATTTGTTATAGCGCAAAAGCCAAAAGGAAATATGAGTGTGTCTGGTTGTGTTTTGATGATGAAAATCATCAATTAGTGACTTGATTCCCTGATCTTTTCAGAGCTATAATCTCTAAATAAACAGGTGATGTATTATTTGTATAATACATTATAATAGAACCGTGATTCGACTGTAAGGTCCATTGTTGTGACAATCAGATTTTAAAAACCTCTATGGTATCATGCTGACTTAAACAGACATCAAGAATCATCATATGAATCTCATTAATGGTGACCATTGAAAAATTGGTGGATTCTGGTGGAAAAACAATGGATACGGATTGTATAATGCACGCATTGCAGCATGAGTTGTTTTTAATGGTCACCATGGTTGAGATTCATACAGATTCTCAATGTTTGTGTGAGTCTTGGTAATTCAATACATTTTTTGTGAAACTTTTTCTGCACAAACTGTTTGTAAAGTCTTTGATAGATCTGTATAATCACAGTTTTGAATAAAACAAATATAATGTTCCCCTTTTAATCTGAGATTCAAGTCACTAAATGATGATTGTCATCATGAATCATCATGAACACCCATTCATACTTTTCCTTGACTTGACTGTTTTATAAACACTGTTACATCAGCCAAAGAAAAACTTGCAAAAGTCAAGGGACAAGGACACAACTAAAGCAAACGCTGATCTCCATCATGGTGACGTTAAATGAA